GCCCGTCAGGTCCTGCCTATCCCCCCCCCGCCCCGTCCCCAGCAGTGCGGAGACACCGGCATCCCCCTGCCGACACGGGTAATGGCTGCCCGGGGACCCCGTTGCCTTGGTTACGGGATCACCGCATGGTTTCCATAGGAACGGTTACGGAAGGACCGGGAAATTCATTGGGATGACAGAGATGGAGAGAATGGCTGCGGTGGATTGGGGGGGGGCTGGCAAGGCTGGTGTCCTACCCGAGGCAGAGGTGCCCTGCGCTCAGGGCGGGAGGGCACCGAGGCAGCTGCCCTCGGTGTCTGTGTGGCCCTGGCAGGGCCCAGGTGCTCCATGGGCCCAGCACGCAGGCGGGAGCGCAAGCCGGCCGGTGGGTGCACGCACAGAGACGGCAGCGGGGGCAAGCTGGGGGTGGGTACGTGAGCTGGTGGGTGCAATGGGGTCAGCGGGGTGCGAGCTGCATGGTGGGGTGCAAATGGCCCCCCCAGTGGGGTGCAGTGAGGCCAACATGACATGGCCGGGCGACATGAGCATGTGTCTCGGGTGCCTCGGACCAACCCCTGACATGTGGCTCATGTGTGAGTGCCCCCCTCGAGGGCTGGCCCTGCTCCCACATGCCTTCTCCTCATCCTGAGCCCCTCCAGACCCACGGATAAGTGCACCATGCCTGGTTCCTCTTAGACGTGGGCCTACCACAAAGGATTTGGTGCCAAGTGTTGGGTGGCCCGAGATGCCCCTGTTCTGCTGTGCCGGTTCCCTGTGTCTGCTGGCAGAGGGCAGCTGTAGCTGAGCATGGCAGGGTGGGTAAGGCCTGTGCCCTCCTGCTTGCACCTAGATGCCCGGGTGCCCAACGTGCAGGTGATGAGGCTCACCCTGCTCTGCGAGCAGGCGCCGGGGCCCATGATCATGGACCTGACAGGTGAGTGGTGGGGACAATACCCGTGGATGCCCCTGTCTGCTTTGTGGCAATGGGGCAGGAGGAGGAGGGAGGGACACTGGGCTATGGGATCCCTTTTGCCTGCACAGGTGACCTGGAGGCGCTGCGGAGCCGCTCCTTCGTGCTGAAGGAGGGGGTGGACTACAGGGTGAAGGTGTCCTTCAAGGTGAGGCTGCGCTGCAGGCTGACCCGAGCACAGCGCCGCTTACCCAGCACCCTGGGGGCCCTGGTGGCTCGGGGTTCCCTTCATCCATTGCTCCTGCGCATGGGGGCCCTGATGCCCTGCAGCACATCACCCCCATGGTCCCTGCTGCCCCATAGTCCCTGTCCCTCTGGCGGCTCTACCGCCCTGGGATTCCTGCCATCCATGGAGGTCCAGGCCACCCTTATGGTCCCGGCCTCTGAGGAGGGCCCAGCTACACTGGGCTCCTGCTCCCCAAGGGTCCCTGCCATCTTGGAGGCCCATGCCGTTCTATAGAACCTCTGCCACCCTGAGGTCCCTGCCAACTGGAGAGCCCTGTTACCCGAGGGTGCCTGCCACCTTGGGTGTCCCCAGCACCCTTGTTC